GGTGTGGAAACAGGGCCCGGGAGAGCCCCAGCCGCTTCCTCTGCCTCCTGATGGCGGAATTAAAAGGACCGAGGGGAGGAGGAGGGGGGAAAGAAGCAGATGGACTGGACAGGGAGCCACCAGGCAGCCCCGCCGGAGCGGGCTCGGATGCCCGTCCGGGTGTTAAGGGCAGCGCTATGGGGAGGCAGAAGGGGCCGCCTGGGCCCCCCGCCCTCTGGATCACACCATCCCACCCGGCTCCAGCCGGGAGGAAAGGGAGAGCAGAGAGCACCAGGGGCAGGAAGCAAATGAGTTGGAATCGGTTATGAGGAGAGCCGGCCACAAACGGGTTGACTCATCCTTGTCCCGGCGTGCGGCAGCGACACGCGGAGCCGGCGCTCTGCAAAGCGCCGTCGGCCGAGACACCAGGGCCCTGGACACGTCCCTCCAGGCCCTGGATGATTCCTCAGGGTCACAGCCGCAATGTTTTAGCACTGCGGAAGCTCTAGGAAAGCTGTTGGAATATAGCACACACGGAGAAGCTCTGCACTGAAATAGCTCGGGCAAAGCTTAAACTGCACCTTGCGTTACCCGTGCCGAGCCCGCGCCTCCCGGCATCCCGCTAGAAAGCTGGGAACAGGGATGCAGCAGCATCGCTCCGCGTGGGGACTGGCTGTGAAAACGCCTGGTAGTGGGAAGCAGCCTCGGCACAAGGGATGACACCGGGGAGGAGGGACGCGGCACCAGACGGCAGCTCTGCCGTGACCGAACCCTCCTCCCCGGGCGCTCGCTGCAGGGGAGACGGCTCCGAACGCCGGCGCTGACACCCCAGGGGAGCCCCGAGCGTGCGGGATCTCAGCTCTGCCCCGCACAGCCCCGGGGTCCCCGGCTCTGTGCTCATGGGGTCACCGTGCCCCCCATGAAGTGCGAGCCTGGCCACATCCTGCACCCAGACCCCGCGCCGCATGGGGCAGCCCATTGCTCCCGACGTCCTGGGCCGTCTCCCGGCATTCCCGGGAGAAGAGGGCAGGAGGAAGGCGGTGCAAGGGGCCCAATGGCCCTCCCGCTTCGTTACCGTTGGGGCAACAGGGAAAACCAGCCCCATGGGGACAACCGAGCACCGCATCCCCCTGGGCTGAGCCCCATGGGGCAGCCAGGCATCCCCTTCCCGGGGAGCTCAGGGGGAGAGCCGGGAACTCCCAGAGTATCCTGGGGATGGCCAGGACCCCTCCACGGTGGCTCCAGAGGGAATAGCCAGACCTTGCTCCGGAGTCCCCCCAAGAACAGCCCACAGAGACACCCAGAGCCCCCCAGAGACACTCAGAAACACCCAGCCCCACAGGAACAACCTCCCCAGCCCCACAGAAACACCCAGAAATACCCAGCCCCACAGGAACAGCCTCCCCAGCCCCCAGGGACACCCAGAGCTCCCTCAGCGCCAGCTCCCAGCCCCACAGGGACACCCAGACCCCCCAAATAGCCCCATGGGGACAGCACCCAGCGCTGTGGGACACCTGCAGCCCCCCACAGGCCTGGGGCCCCCATAGCCCCCCAGAGATCCCCAGACCGAACCCCACAGCCTCCCCCCAGGA